CCTTGTGACACCTCTGATCTTGCTGAGTTAACACCGTAGCCTAAGAAGACTCATACTGGTCTCTAGCACCTACTCTTTGAGTAAAGCATGGTTCGTTCTCAATGTCTTGTCCTGTCTAAGCTATTGATCTCATCCTCCCTACTCACTGGTAGCTTTGACCTGATCTCTCATGTTCCAGAATTGAGTACGTCTATGCTTTACTCATTTTGTTACTTTAGTGAAGTATTTTCAGCAGCATTCAGGATTAATCAGACTCTCCTGAAACCAAAAGGTGTTTTCCCACTGTTTTCAGGGGGAGCTGTTAGAGCAGGGCTTGGTGCTGTTGGGAGTCCTATGCTGACTGACTGCAGATGGAGGAGGCAGGGGAAGGGCTTAAAGGATCTGGTATGTTTCATGGCAAAAGCAGTTTTGGAGGACTTCAGATAGAGAATCCCAAACTGAGCCTGGAGTGCATGAGGAGAACACAGAGAGGAAGACAAGGTAAACGTGACTTCAAGGAATCCTGTTCACATCCCTGGTGATGGCAATGAATGAATGAAAGATTCAGAACCTCCCTGTGATATTGGGATGGCCGTTTTTTGCCGTTATCGTAATTGCCATGAGTAAAAAAAAAAACAACAACAAAACATCCTGCTGTCCAGAAATATAAGACAACAGCATTGGTGAAGAGGGCCCATCCTCCGCAGCCCTTCCCCTCATGACTCCTCCACACTCAGGAAGTGGCAAGGCTGTTCTGTGTGGCCAAAAACAAGGCAGCAAAACTCTGGTGAAAAAGGGAGTTAGAGCTGATCGGTAAGCCATGGGCGCTGAACATCTCTCAAGAGATAAGTCTCTGATGCTTGATTCTTTTTAGTCCTTTTGGAGACCGTGATAAGGAGGCGGCAGTTGCTTTGTCAGGGTTGCTCACGCTTTTTTGCACACTGTGTTCAGTTGCTGAACTTGTTCAGATAAGACAAACATCTAAACTCCATTTCCGGAGACACATACCAGTCTTTACACTCAGGCGATGGTTGTACCAGGGGTGGGCTTCTGGAGACAAAACTGATGTCAAAAGCCTGTGGAAGGATTCTCTATAGCAGCTGGTGCTTTTGCATCTCTTCTGCTCCAAAACTGGAGTCCAGACTTTCCAAAGGCATTTGGGTGTTTGGGAAAATGGGCTGCCAGCATCTCACTGGGAGCAGTGGGGAGGATTAGTTTAGGCACCAGGGCTCCAGTTACTGCACAGTGCCAAATTGGTGCTGACTTGTCCTAAGCAAGGTGTCCAATTTTGCTGTTTTTCTGCACTGAAAATTGAGGTACTTCAAATGCTGTCTAGAAATCCTGCAAGGAAAAGGGCTGCTGAAAATTAGATTCAGTGCCTTCTTTTCTTGCCTCCAACAGATTTTACCTGAAATACATCAAGAGAGCCCTCAAAATATTTGATCCCTAGGATGTGCAGAAAGCGCTGTCACCTCTGTGTCCCTCAGAGATGTTCCTCCCCATAACCCTGCAGAGTGCTCAGCTTAACCCTGGTGAGCAGCAATTGCATCACTTATGCATCTCATCATCTAATCCCATTTATAGCCCAAGATGCCAGTACATTTTAAAAACCTGCAATGGAAAGGCCTATTACTACGTCATCTAGGCTACAGTTCTGTCAGTGTAGGGTTATTCAATTAGCTGGAATGCAAGTCATTAATGTGGCCTTTTTTTTTTTTTTAATTGCTACTAACAGAACAGTGATTTAAGGCATTTCTGAATTCCATTGACATTTCCTTTCCCTGCCAGTTGCACAGGGTCAAATGCTGGGCCTAAGGCATGTGACAGCGTCCTCCTGCTGTCTGCAGCAACATCAAATCCTGTCCTGAGACCGGCTCTGGGAGGAATGGATGCACAGACCCCTCCTTTCACGTCCTGCATTGAATTCTCTGATACTGGTAGCTCAGAAGTGCTGTCTAATGGTGTGGATTTCCCAGCTTTTCTGCAGTGGTTTTCCCACTGCATGGGGGCTGTTTTGGAAAGCAGTGACCTAATCACGGTGCCAAGGCCTCGGTGTACTTGTGACCTCGTGCTTCACAGTTTCTTCCTGTGTTCTGCTGATGTGCTGTAGAAATTGGAATAATGTGTTTTGCCTGCAGGCAAAACCTCCCAGCCCTGAAGTCTTACAGCAGTGTTTCCCACATGGAAACATTTCTCCTGCTTTATCTGTATACACCTGCCAATGTGTAAGTATTCCCCCCTGTGCCCATCTATTCTGGTGCCTTTATTCCCCCAGGCTTTTGTTTTGCTCTTCCCATTCCAGGCTGGCCGCTTGACCTTTGGAAAAGCTGTGTCTCCCTTCCTATGGAAAGCAGCTCCCAGAGATGCCTGAGCCCTGAGCAGCAAAACTTTGCTGTTTCAAAGTCACATTGACCTGAGTGCTGCAGCAAATGTGTACAGCGTCTGCTGCCGTTGTTTCGCATGAGGGAGCTGCAGTCAAATATTAAAAAGGCAGCAAGAGCATTAAATTATTCGACAACAGAACATTGTCATTCCTCCATAAAACTATTTTGACCTGTAGTTTTCTATGGAGTCCATTGCTCTTAAATGTGCAATGAGAAAGGAAATTAAAAATTAATCTTTATTTCCATCTCAGAAGAAAACCTTAATTCTCTGCATTGAAATTATACTCGTAATCCAGGGTAATAAATTATAGTTTTTAATTGCAGCCAGTCACAGCCAATCAAATGTGGATGTCTCTCTTTCTCTCGCTTGCTTTAACTTTGCTATGCAGAAAAACTCGTGGAGTGCTGGAAAAAATTCATGCACGTTGACCAAGGCTCTTATCATGTAGCATAAGCTCACAACAACTGGGCTCTGCTCTTTTCTGGCATCCTAGAGCTGATGACCTGAGAGTACCTTGTAGGGCAATGATTGCACCATACTCTCAGCCACAGGCAAACGGGTCTATTCAACCATTTCAACGTGGAAAAGGTGGTGCAGCATCTTGTTCAAGGTTACGTGCTGTCAGTCAGTGAGCTAGGAACAAAATCTAGATTTTGTTCAACTGGTTCAACTGCTTTTGACTATCAAACAGTGCGCCCCCAAGCACTGGGAGCCAGGACGTGCTGCTCTGGCCCACTGGCTGACTTGGCTGGCTTTAAGTACCCAAGCTCTGATGTTGTGTCTCTTCTTGCAAAAAATAAAAAAATTTTAAAAAAAGGACAGTTGAGTAATGCAGAGGTTTATGCTCAGGGCCTAATGAAGGGACCTTTGTGTTCATTTAAGTAGCTTTGTTTTGTGTTTTACTTGTGTTGTAGGCGAATGAAACGTCTATTGGTGTTTGACACTGTTGTATTACACATGATGAAAGCTACCTTGGAGTTGGAGTAGCTGACCTTTATGGGTCCCTTCCAAGTCAAACGGTTCTATAAATTGAGTTTGCTAAGATATGGCATGCTTTTAAACCATAAAGGGAGGTGTTTCTGTTCCCAAATAACTGATGTTTGCATTTGTCAGCTTCTTCCAGTGCTGTCTCACAATGTCTGAGTACTTTCACACCTTCTGCTAGATGATCCTGGCTGGCTGTCATCTCACCACTTGCATGGTGGCACTAAGCCAGGGGTTGTTGTCTCTGAGAGCAGCCCATAAAACTCAAATACCTGGGCAGTGCATCTGAGTTCTTTCTTAGCACCTTTGTCCGAGCAGTTCAGCCTTGACATATTTTTTATATCTTTTTTGCTATGGCATGTCCAAACGATATACAAGCTAGACTTGTATAGAACAGGGAGGATTTTAAAGATGTCTTAGCATTTCCAAGCTCAGCTAGGAGAAGGGAGAGCCAATGGATGGATTGGATTCTTTGGCTGGAGGCAGTAATAGTGGGGGTAGAAGTCTATAGTTTTGATAACAGTCCCTAGGTCTGTTTCCTAGCTTTTTCTTAATGTACTGATATGTGGAAGAGTGGGCACGACAGAAAGGGCAACAAAGTGACTAAACATCACAGCAGCTGCTGTGGGAATAGGATATGGTCCACCTGACATTAAAAAGCCTTCTCCAGTTGCACAGTGTTATCAGTATATATTCACAGTGAAGGTTACTAATCAGGATTAACCTGGCACATCTATAGTCTTTGATTTGTAGAAGGCTGTAAGATTTCTGCAGTGTGTGGCCGTTTCTCCTCATGTGCTCAATGTGACTGGTAGCAATGAGGAGAGTGGTGAAATCCGTACTTCAGGACGCATTAAAAAGAACAGACTGTAAATCTAGCAATGTTTTTGACCAAGAGCACTTATGTTCTTGATGAGTAGTCCCCAGATTCCAGATATGAGTTTTATGGAGTCTTATTCTCCACTGGCAATTTAACAGAGAGCTTCAGCTGGGCTAAAAGAAACATTAGCCTTGGCAAAGCATCCCTTGGCCATGGCTGATGTGGAGGCCACTGGGAGTTCTGCTGCCCACCCCTTATCACCGATGGCGAGCTGTCTGTGGGGGAGCTCTGAGTCCTGCCCAGAAACAACAGCAGTGTGCATCAGCCGCGGCTGCTTCTGTCTGCAGTCGTGGGGATGTGGCTGAGCAGCTTGCCCTGGTGTATTTTTATGTTATGCTGCTAACAGTATGCCTAGATTAAAGGTACCTTATGTACACTTACAAATGCTAATCACACCTGATTTGTTTTATCTGAGCTGCTTTTCCATGCGAATTCTAACCCTTTTCTAGGCAGGATTCACCGTGCCATAACGAATTGAATTGCTTGGAGGCTTTTTCTGGTGGTCTAGTTGAATTTTGCAGTTAACTTCCTTTCCCTCTGTTTCTACCAATTAGATTTACTTCTTAATGCTTTGTGTTTTATGTTTTTTAAAAATTTTTAATGAGCATTTAATCATGAGTCAAGTCTGGATAGCGTTTTCTCTCCACAATTTTCCCTCCTGAAGCGGTTCCTGCCAGCTTTTGGTGGTTTTTATTTTGCTTTTATTCCCCACTTTCTCTCTTAGGTATCTTCTGATAATACAGTGTAAAAAAATTTTGGGCCTGTCCTCCTAGCTGCTGAAACTGCAGAACAGCGTGCTTGGCGTGCTGAGGTAAGTGAATATATCCTCTTATTGACCACTGAAGAGATCCTTCAGTTTTGAATGAGGCGACTTTGTGTGCCAGGAACATGCTCAGCCCAAACGTCTGCTTCCCAACACGGAGCAATCAGAGAGCACCCAGCAGACAATAACTCGTGTCTCCATACAAACAAGGCTCCTTCTGGAAATTAAATGGTTTATCTCAAGTTATGAGACTGCTGACTACTCTTTGAGAGGTACTTTGAGAGGCTGGGGAAATAACTGCAGTCCTGTTTGTCATGTCCAAAGGAAGAGTGATCCTGGAATTTATTGTCCTGTGTGCGTAATTTTTGTATCTAGCAAAATACTGAAAGTAGGATTTATGAACTAAACAAACATGTTTCCGGAAGATGCTGGCAGCTGTGTGCCTTAAGCAGTAGTGGCGGCATGGTGAATATATCTCCTCTGAAAATCTTCTTGTTTTATAGGACAATAAAATTAGTGAATGAAAGCAGAGAGGGAGATATAATGGATCTGGGTTTTAACTAGCATATGAATCAATATCTCATGAGATCTTGCCTGAAAAAAAAAACCACGTACTTCAGGAGCAAGGGCATGAAGAGAATAGGGGAAAAGAATGGGAGGGGTGGTCTAGTGACTGCAGCTGGAGGTCTGAGCAGGACAGGGCCTCAGCCAGGGGGTGTAATTCTGTGCTCTGCCAAAGGCTTCCCAAGGGCACATTGCTGCTTTTCTCTGCACCTTGGTTTGCCATTGTTAAGTGAAGACAGTACCATTACAGCAATGGTTGCTTGGCTTGTGGGCAAGGTGGCATTTCAAGGTGAGAGGTTCTCTGATCCGTGGGACTGGAGACCATGCAACATTGTCAGATTTTCCACCCCACTGTATCAGCAATTATAAGGTATTACTGATTTCTCACCATTGCATGCTTCGTGCATGAAGGGGAAGATTTTGGTGCCTATTAGGATAGCAATATTTCATACACATTTTCCATTGGTTGGGCAAAAGTTCTTTATGGTTATGAGCTAACCCCATTCTCACAAACAGCCATAACTCATCTGTTACAAGTTGCTGATTCTTTCCTTTGACTCGGAAGAGGAAAAAGATTTATTTGGCATTTAGAAACTTCCCATAGCAACAACAGGAGAGAATAAACATCTTTGCTTTTCTCCTCTGCCCTGGAGACAGGTCAGAAGAGGTCCTTGATGGGGCTGCAGAGTGGTTCTTCAGGCTTGCAGCCGCATCGCTTGGTGCTGCCTTGGCTGCCTGATGGTGGGGGCAATGGGGATTGCCTGCAGGGAGGATGCTGCTTTCCTGGGCCCAGGAGCATTTGCTCAGCCTCCAAACACGTGTGCTATCCAGAGAGATTGTCTGCAATGAATGCTGAGCGACTCTTCTGTATCAAACACTTCCCACCTTGAAAACTTCCTTGGTTAACTGCTCATTTCTAAATCATTATTAATGTATTTGCACAGGGATTTTAGAATTTAATTAGCCTCTTTTGAACTGCTCTTAGCGTGTTTGTCTAGAGAAACAGAAAATCCCTCCATGACTTGTTTGCTTTCTTCCTTCGCTGGTTTTCACTGGAAGGGGAAGATACCTCTGGGCTTTACAGGGTTGCAGCCTCCTGCGTTGCAGGATCCATGCAGGCACTCAGGTTTCATTTGGAGCCTTCCTTGGAGTGTTTTCCTTTGCAAAGTGAGGCTGGGCAGAGCGGAGCAGGGCTCCTGGTGCTCACACACACACGCACTTTCCCTCTGGCAAACCACAGTGGTTCTGACCGCCGCCTCTGGTACTGTTGTGTTGGTCCCAAATTGAGGAAGGATGACTAACTTAATCACTGGATAGTTTTGATTTCTAAAATTAAACGGCCTGCCACATGTGCAACGCTGTTGCTGTATTTATGCCAGCAGTTAGCAGGCAGCACCAGGGAGCAAGAGGGGCTTCACAGCTGCAGCTTGTGCCTGCACTGATGTGTGCAAGCAGATGTTCCTTCCTACTTCTCCCAGCCTTGTGGATTTGTCTCCCTGTAAAAACAACAGCACTTGTGCTCAGAGAGCTTTCTGGCCAAGCTCTCAGCCATCACTTTGTAAATGTATGCTGATGAGCTGTGGTGCAACTCAGCTGCGGAGGTGGAAAGGCCGAGGGGCTGAGAAAAGCCGGAGTGCAGCAAGCCCCAACCCAGTGCTGAAGCAGCTGTGGGCTGCAGAATGGCTTCCCTGCGAAGCTGGGGGGCTCTGCCCCCCAACATCACCCAGGTGGCTCTGCCCAGAGCTCTTAGGTCAATAGGAATGAGATGCCTTTCTCTCACTGTTTGCTTTATAGCTAGCCCCACACAGTTTTATGTGGGTTATAGGAGAGAGGAAATAAGAGCAATAAGCTGCAGATAAAAGCCAAGGTGAAATGCACAGAGGTGGAAGGGCTTCATTCTTTGGAGGAGGACAGACTGAGGGATGAGCTGTTAGTTACTCTTTTGGTTCATGCAGTAGTCCTCTGGTCTTAGACGTGTTACTGAGCTTCGCTTTCTCGCAAAAGGCCTGGCAGGAGAATGAAGAGATGAAACAAATTTTTAGCACTAACCAATGAGAAGTGTTCGGGTGAAGCTGAAATATTTTGACGTACTGGATTGGATTTTACCGACTCTGTGACTTAGACGTGCTTTTGTTTGGTGTTAAGCAGGTGTTACTCAAAGCATCAGTGAGGCATGTTTTGGTAGAGCTTTGTGTGCGTGTTAAAGAGGTGGCAGGAGAAGGTTTGCTTTTCATTTGCTAAGGCTTCTGATTGAAAACAAGTGGAATCCTTTGGGATTTCTTTGTGAGCTCTATGGATCTGGCAAGTGTATTTGATGGAAGCAGAGAGTGTTCAACATAAGGTTTTGGATGGGGCGCTGGACAGCCTGGTCTAGTACCAGATCTGGAGGTTGGTGGCCCTGCCTGTGGTAGGGTGGGTTGGAACTTGATGATCCTTGGGGTCCCTTTCAGCTCAAGCCATTCTATGATCTGTCCCTTAGAACAATGTTAAATTAAGTAAACCCTAGCAATTATGTCTGGAAGAAAAAAAAGAATTAGGCAAGTTTCACCAGTGCAGTGCTGCATGCTCTCCTGTCAGGTTGCATGAATGCTGCTGGGAACAAGGACACCCTGGAGCACCAAGAGATGACCCAACACTTCACAGCCTTGTGCTCTGACCTGTCACTTGTCAGCTTCCAGGCGTCATCTTCAGCACCTTCAGTGCAGTAAGATAGTTCTTCTTTGAGTGTCAAAGGTGTGGATTTATGCCAGGGGAATTGCTCTTGGGATGCAAGCATGACTTGTAATTATTTTTTGTTTCCATGAGTTAAATAAATTTAAGTCCATATTTGGATTCATATTTTAATGATAGAACTGCAGCACAAAGGAACTGCTGTTTGTGCCAGCAGGGCACTTGGCTCTCTCCTTTTTGCTGCCTCCTGTCTGAAAGGGGACGCAGCATATATTGATCCCAGCTTTTAGAACTCGTTCTATTTATGAACCCAAATTGCAGAATGAAGGTATGAAGAACACTTGAAAAGGGGAAGATCTATACGAGAACGACAAAGGGAATAAATTAAAGCAGCCTCCCCTCTCTAATGGGCTGCCAGCTGCTGTTAGCGAGGGGATGCCCCAGTGCCATCTACCTGAGTGATGCTCCAGCATCAGGGCATTTTCTTGAACACAGTATTGATTTTTGTTGCTACATTAAGCTTTTAACTTTGTCAATGGTATTCTTGGAAATCATTACTGCTGTGATGCGCAGCACGAGAGGTGAAATATCTCTGCTGCTGCTGTGTGGGTGCAGTCTGCGATTGCTTCCCTCTTTCTTCCCTTTGTTGTGGAAGCCCCATTCAGCTGATGCACCTCAAGGAGAGCGAGGAGGAAAGGAAGTAAAACTGCAAGCCAGGATGGCCTTGGAACTGGGTGAGAGAGACTGATTTTTACAACAAATTGGTGACAACTTTTTAAGCTTTCCTAGTGGCTGTGAATGTGGGGTAGGAGGGGTCAGAGCACGGTCCAGGGCTGGTGCTTGGGGTCCACTGCGTGAGTATGTGGATGTGCGCTGTGGGGGCTGAGAGCTGCATTCAGCATGCTTATTCCTGCTTGAATTCCTGCATCTTAAATGAACTCAGCCACTGGGTGAGCTCAAACTCTTCCTAATTGAGACTGAAGATAGACAAATTAGAGAGCAGAGGGACAGAAGTGGAGGGCTGTTGTTACTGAGGTTTAGGCTAGGTCCTAGGCATGTTCCCTTATGCAGAGATTAACATAGAACATAAAGCTGCACGTCCAAATGGCTGTGGTTGTTTCTAATCCATCCAGCTTCCCATCAGAAGGGAACTGCTCGCAGACAGGAGCATTTTACTGCAGACTCAGCTGTGCTGTGCTGTTAGAAGCTGTTAATTCCCCATCCTGTCTCCTCCTCCTATTGCTCCCTTTCCAACAGCTGTTCTTGGATCAGGCTGGCTGCCTGCTCCTTGGGGTCTGTGTGTGAGAGCCCTGAGATATTCCATTTCAGGACAAGGTAAGGCAATTCCTGCCCTTAGAAATCCTTCACTGCTGTGACCTGAGAGATGTGAAGGTCCCAGAGGAGGGAGTACCTCAGCAAGGAGAAAGCTGATGTCATAGAATCAGTGGAGTCATAAAGATCATCAATCATAAGATCATCAAACTCAACCACCAACCCATCATGTGGCCACAGAAATGACAAATGGCCAAGTATTATCTGGCCCCACAGTTATTTTCATGTCAGTTCTTTGCAGGAAAGAGAGGTGTAAGGAGCCAGGAGGAACTGTCCCGTCCCTTCCACTGCCCCAGGATGGAGCCAACTCTCTTCAGGTTTGTTTTGGTGCAGGACAGCAGAGTGAGGGCTCTACTCTTTGCTTGGACCGACTCTGTCTGCCCCACATCCACCAGACCCCTCTGCACAACCCTTTGCAATGAGAGCAAGTGCTCTTGGCTAGGAATATGTTGTTCCCCATAGTGTCTCCATGCTGATAGCTCTGATGAGAGGTGGTCCAGCTCGTTGCTAAAAAGCATTCTGCTGACAGAATGAATGCCTGGGAGAGTGATGAGCCTCCACCTTAGCAAAATGCAGAGAGAATTTTCCTCTTCTGCAGTCTTCCCCCCTCCCCCCATCCACTACTATGTCAAAACCTTGAGTTTTGTGTAAAGTTGTTAAATAAGCTTCTGGGCAAAATAAAAGATCAAAAGAGGTCTAATTAGCTGCAGTCTGCTTAGGAATTGTGGATGTTCACCTAGTTTTATAAATTGACACTTTTAACATTAAAACTCAAAGCAAAAAACGATGTAATTATTCCCTTTATTTTTATTTTTTTTTTTTTTTTTGAAGCTTAGGTTTAATGTCTTTATTGAAAATTGGGTACTTCTATGGCATCTCAAGATGCTTTATTCTATCAAATCTGGAGCAAGTCATTTTTCATTTTGGATTGTAATGTGGTATAAATGATAAGAGCCTGATTCAGAAAGCTTTTTTTTTTTCCTCCCCACTGGCAGCTTGACGAGAAAGCCTCATAGTCACGTCCCAATAACCCTGAAGATAATCTATTGTTTGAGTCTTTGTGAAACTGCTTGCTTTTATAAAGGGGAAAAGTGAGATTTTTTGAGCCCACGGTTAGGGTGCCTGAGCCTCACTTGCTCTCACAGGATTTTTGCTTCTTTTTAAATTTTATATCTTTTACCAGACACAAGATACCAAGGTAGAAGTAGGTACCTGCTATGATGATCTGTGCTGTGATCATCCATTGAAGTCTATGTGCAGTCTAATTGAAGCTCAGAATGTAACAGGTAGTTGAATGGAGAACATCTGGTGGTTAGAGCAAAGAAGGAATGAGAGATGCATAGATGAGCTTTGTTGTAGTTTTTGGGCTTGTTTCCAAACTCCGATCATTTGGATGTACCATGCTTCATGTTCATGTCAAATCTCCCTGAATTTGACCCCAGTATCATAGAGTAGAGTGGACAGATGAGAGGAGGGTAACGAGGAAGTCATGTTAGAGCTGGACTGTTCACAAGTATTATTTGCACTGTGGCAAGACACACAGTCTCCATTTAGAAGCAGAGGTGATGGCGCTGGCTCTTCCCTAGTGCATAGGAAGTCCCGGTGCCTGCCCCAAAGACCTTACCACCCATAAAGAGGAATGGCAAATGCAGGGTTTGTATTTGTGTGAGGGTGACTGCAGAAAAGGGTCAGTCCCCCAGTGAACTTTAAACTTTTTTGGATGTTTATCTAAAAGTTCATGCAAATGGAGGTGGATTTCTTTGATCTGGGGTTCTCATGAGAGCTGTCTTTTGTAATTTCGACTGCTCCCTGGCTTGTGTCAGAAATGCTGTGAGTGGGGTCTGCCCTGGGATTTGGCACAGCCCAGGTTTTAACTGGGCTGGAAGGGAAACGGAGCAAGATTCAGACAGCAGAGAAGAGCTTGCAGAAGAGAATTTTTTATTGGCATCTTTTATATGATTCTAATTCAGAAGTTTCAGTTCTTGATGATCATGCTGGGCAGAGATTCAAGATTTCATTTGCAGTTGGCTCAGCTCAGATGCTGGAGGAAGCTTCTGCGACTGGGAGGAAGATCCTTTTCCTGCAAGAACAGAATTTCTCATCTGACATTAGGAGTGGGATTAGAGCCTCCTTAAAGATTCCAGTGGGGATTTGCTTGAATTTTTCCAACTCTGCTTCTCTGGCCCAATGTGGCAATTAGAGGAGAGTTGTTTGGTTGTTGCTGTGAGTGATCTGGCTGCTTGCTCTTGTGGATTTCTTGATAATCAGAGCTCACTGAATAGAATGCTTGCTACAAATGTGGTTATTGATTCATAGAGATTTTTCTGAGAATGGAAGCTTATCCTTTGTTACTTTTAAGTTGTTTCATTGGCTAGATAGTGAGCAGGCATTACTTTCACACACCAGGACGGCTGCTTTCTGGAAAAGATTCAATTATTATTCTTCGCACGTGCTCTGTATGGGCTGTGCTACCATACAGTGTATGTACAGTCCAAGCCTTTTCCCATTTGCTGCATAGCAAGATATCCACTGACTTCTATGGGAAAGATACTGACAAAAGTATTGGTGCAGGCTGCCCATGGAGGTGGTGCAGTCACCATCCCTGCACGTGTTCAAGAACCATGGAGGTCTGGTACTGAGCGTTGTGGTCGGTGGGCATGGTGGGGGTGGGCTGATAGATTGGATGATCTTAGTGGTCTTTTCCAACCTTAATGATCCTGTGAGACAAAGCCCGGGAGCAGCTCTGGGAGCAAATGCAGTATGATTCCATGAGTTGGCGCTTTGTTAAGGAGTTAATGAGGAGGAGTTTCCATCCCTCCGCCCCACCCAGAGCAAGAGGAGATGGGTGTCTCCTTGGCTGTACGCTGGGTTGAGGATTTGACTTCCAGTGAACAGCCTGGCGTGGTGGAGCTGCTCCGTGTGTTTGCTGTGCTGCTCAGAGGGTGTGCATTGCACGGAGCATCGCTCCTGGGAAGCTGAGCTTGGACAGCACAGAGCAGCTTCCATCTGGCTCTCATATAGCCATAATGGTCATTAAATAACACTTTAATGTTTTACAGCTTAATGTTTTTGTTTTAATATTAAACAAAGATTTTCTTTAAGGGAATTTAGTTTAATCATCTGGTTGCATGGCTGACCTGAGGAGGAGCACTGAAAGCCTGCAAAATTCCCCAGATGCAGCAGAGAATGAAAGTCCTTACGATTTAATAAACTATCCAAGACGAAGTAACTGGACTAATAAGTTTGTGATCTGTACCTGAGGGATGTGAATGCGCGCTTATATTGGAAGAAGGAAAACTCCACTTCCATCAGACACAGCTGGTACTTAAGGCTAAATGCATAAACTGTTTTTTATTTTAATTCTTTCATCTTTCCTATGTTTCTTGTGCCAACCTGCCTATTGGAAGTACTTCAATTGCAAGTTTGTGAAATTGCCATTTTTTCTCCTTAAGAATATGCAAGTCTTGTAAATCCCAATTATCACTTCACCTTTTAGAAAGTTACCTGAGCTGACAGATGAACCATGCAGATGCCCATCAAATCTGCTCCATTGCTTCAAGCTAATGCCTTGTGTTTTAGTGCCCATCCAAAAATTCCAAACGGGTACATCACCACTGAGGTAATGAATGAAATAAATTATTAGCTAAACACAGGGTTGTGACCACACGTTTAAGAGATGGGTTGCTGTAAGTAGTTATAATTTGTAAGTTATAAGCTGTCATGGGTTCTGATGTCTCTCCTCCTCTCAGAGAAGTCCACGAGGTCTTGTTCTTAAAGCTCATTTTCAATGTTTTTGGCTCTGAAGAGTTTGCTAGGTGTTTTCAAGCCTCTTGAGAGCCACACATCAACCTACAGGAAAACATACATTTGTAAAATGATATTAACTTCTATAATTTCTTGTCATTTATAAACTTCATTCAAATGACTCTTGACCATTTTGAGTTCAGAAGCATCCAATGGAGTGCTGAGTTTTCATTTCCCCTTAACAGAGAGATACTGGGAACAAAAAATGTGCTTTTCTGCTTGCTGCTGGACAAGGCTTATGGGTAGCGATAATATCTTAGACAAACTGGGATGGCTGGAGAGCTTAGGTAACCTTGGAAGCATTGAGTCCTTCTTCAAGCCTGAAACAGAAGCTTGTAATGCTGAATTAGCAGCTGCTCAGTGTTCAGTTAGATAGTCGTCTATTAGAGCTTTGGAGGAAAAAACATAGTAAATATTGGTGTATTCTGGTTTACCTGGGACACAGAAAGGATGACAGCTTCTGTATCTTAAGTATAGGACAGCTTTGTTTCTCTTGAGCAGCCCACAAGAGCATGTGATCATGTAAACTCCTACTATATGCTTAGGGGACTGTGTGTCCTCAAGAAATGGCTCGTGTGCTTCACGTTTTCTTCTGTTTTTTAATCTCTGCAGGCTGTCTGGAACCTGGGAATTTGGCTTTTACATTTGCAGCCTTTTTTGCTCTAACACAGAACTATCTTCCAGGTGGAAGCTGAAACCTTGTCCCTGGGGTAGCGAGGCCACGCAGAAGGTCACAAATGGCTGACAGTGCCGAGCTGGTGAGATCTGCTCTTCTGGTTTTGTCAATGATTATCCCGGCCTGACAAAGGTTCTACCATGAGCATTGTGGTAACTTCTTAAAGTTGATTGGGAGCTATTAAGGAGTGATAAAAATCAGGTATTTCTGACCATGGTGATCAAAGGAGGAATTCAGTGATACTACAATAGGTGCTTGGAGTTCTCCGGGCATTGCCATCAGTATTGTTTAATGACCCAAATGCTATGGCTGCAGTTGGGCAAATAGCAGCATTGGCAGCCGTGCAGAAGTTCTCAGGAGACAGGGATTTCAGAGCGACAACATAACTCATTGCAAGCTGTCTGCTTTCCCTGAATGCTGGCAGTTGTCATATTGTGACTGTCAGCCCAGAGGTTGACCCCACTTCCAGAATCCTGATTTATTCAGAAACCTGCAGATTTCCTCTCTCGGGTTTCAAGCATGTTGCCTGTGGTCTAAAGGCAACAGTTCCACCAGCTGAGCTGTTGAAGGTTTCTTTCTGGCTGAGGTTACAGGACACGTGTTAAAAGCTGGTGTCAAGTGAATGCAGCCTAATAGGATTATGAAGTTTTCCTCCCCCTGTAAGAATGAGGGTAACTTGATGCTCCTGGCCTACCTAAAGGAATATGCTGTTTGGGGAACGGATCCTCCACTCTGCCATGCTGAAAGGTTGCTAAGATGTCAGGAGGCTCAGAGCACGGAAAGCATTATGCTGAGAGCTCAGTGAGAGCAGCCGTTGAGTCCCCTGGCAACCCAGAGTGACCTTTCCCCAGACGTCTCCCACAAAAAACTTGTTGCACATCCCCTCCCTGTTGGTGTCTGTGGCAATGGCTGGCGGGAGTTTGGCTGTTTGCAATGTAGGCCATTCATGCACGAGTCCCCAAACTGCTGGAGCCCATTGCCCTGCGGAGCTCTGTGAATCTCCTTGCTCCTACTGACCGACAGCCAGCAGTTTCCCAGGCATCGAGCATGTGTGTGAGTGTAGTAATGAGTCATTTCTTTGGGGCTATTGTTTAAGTCTTCAAACCATGGAAGGAAACCAGGAGCCTGTTGTATGTCACTAAAGGTCACCGGCTATTTTTACAGATTACATTAAAGAACACCAAAACTGCACAAAAAGAATATTCAGGCTACAAAGCCGGAACTTTGAAAAATATTTTCACTGCTAAACTATCACAAATGGCTCTGGTGTGTGTGCAAACTGTCATTTTTCAGGGACTCACAGCCTGGCTAAAGGTGTGTTGCTCCTCACGGGCTATAAGAATACCATTCTCTGGCACCATTGTGGCCTTCCTTGCAAAATGAAAGCAGCGTTGCAAACTATCGTGCTGAGACTGTTTGACCAAATGCTTGAAAGAGATAGCAGTTTATTTCTTTTTAACTTGGGTTAAAAGTTTTCCTCCATTGGATAAACTGAATTAACTGAAACTTTTACCCAAATCCCAGCTGGGGCGGACAAGCAGCATGGAAAGCTTTAATTTGAAAGATTAAAGTGAAATTCTAAGCAACTGGAGCCTTATAATTCAGTACAACGTGGTCAGCCTATCAATGGGAAATCATTTTTTCTGTCTGTTCTGCTTTTGATGTCATTCTATCAAACATTTAATTGGGAGACACAGCTTTAGCTTCAAACTCATTTTGAAGCAATGAGCATTAGTCAGACATAAACAAATAGGCTGGGGGCAAGCTACACAGCTGCCAAGTGGTGGGGGAGATTTAACAAGGGCCTTGTGAGCCGATGCCCCCAAAAGAAGGAAATTAGGATGGATAGAAGGAGAAGGTTTTTGCACTAAGTGTGGTGAGGCACTGGCACAGGCTGCCCAGAGAGGTGGTGGTGTTGCCCCATCCCTGCAGATAGCTAAGGTCAGGCTGGGCAGGTTCTGAACAACTGATGGAGCTGGATCTGATGGAACTGGTGTCCCTGTCCAGTGCAGGGAGGGTTGGACCACATGACCTTTAAGGTCCCTTCTGACTCAAACAATTCTATGAAATTGCCACAGAGCAGAGAACAGAGCTCTGAGGAGAGGAAGCAGGGGTTGTGCAGCAAATAAGAGGTGCTGGAATCTCATAATCCTGAGCAAGGCGTGAGAGTGCTCGGGTTGGGAATGAAGCCCTGATGCTGGAGTGCTCCAGGCAGGGAGTGGGCTTCAGTGATGTGCTGTGATCTGAGAGCCACTGTGCTCCTGGGGACATGGGGTAATCTGCTGGTGGTTCACGGGCAATTTATGAGGTTAAACTGGAGGTTCTGAGGTTGAATTAGTCCCCATGCAAATGTGGGTCAAAATGCTAATGTATACTTAAAGAAAAACTGTGTGCAGGCAGCAAGCTCCTTGAAATATCATCTTTGTGGTGACCGGACCTCAGGGAGCACATAATAGGGAGCAGCCTTTGCTAATTCTCAGCCGTGGCTGCAGCAGAGCACTGTGGATGAGGGGGCCAGGACAGAGGCAGATGTAACTTCTTTGAGGTCATATCTCAAGTCAGAGTGCAGTTCACTCCCGGGTTTGTGGTCGTGCTGCTGGAGCAGGCTGCCCAGAGTTGCTGGGAATACGTTTGCTTTTAATCTCTGAGCCGTTCTCTTTGCTGAAGTGCCTGGAATTTGCCTCAAAAATATTTTGGAGGGGAAATGCAATCATAAAGCTGGATCTTTGGGCTATGCATGCTTCACTTCAGAGCCATAACATCTTTGATGGGGGTGAGTGTTGTTAACCTGCCTCCTTTGTTTTCTGACAAGGAGAGTAATTTTAAAAATAACATTTTAATCCCTTACACTGCATCCATGTCAGTGTTAGCTTAACTCAGCCCACATTTCGGGATCTCTGGGAGGTGTTTCACTTTCATTCAAGTAGATTTGGTTTTTTAATACTTTCATGACACTATTGCTAACTGGGACCAGAGCCTGGCATGTGCAGCAGGCAGCAAAGTCCTACTCCCAGCAAAGTTCCTGTTAGTTCCTTGAGCAAAGCACTGTGCTTCCTCTCCAGCATCTCTGGAGCCTCATAAGAGCTTTCCTCTTCCCAGCACAACTCAGGCTGGTCCCATCCCTGCTCCCGGAGCTAGTCATGTTTTTCCTGAGCGAAAGGAAGAGGTTCCCAATCTCTGCAGATGCCATCCAACCATCCCGGCCAGCTCATTTCTGCCCTGCTGAGAGATGCCCACGGGGGTAGTGCAGGCATCGTGCCGGCCTTCCACAGCCAATAGGAAGGGGCAGGGACAAAGGTAAGGCTGGCAGCATGAAAAGGCTGCTTGTTGCAGCGTTTCATGGCCAGTGAGCATGACCAGCCTTCAGGGCTAATTACCAGAGGAGAGAGAAGTATGTTCTTGTCAGCAGGCCTACAGGGTTACTAGTTAATGAAGCAGATATGCAGGTAGCTTGTTTGGTGGCAAGAGCGAGTGACTGCCTTGTGTCCTCAGGGATGTGGGCAAACCTTGGTGTTGTGCTGGCAGGCTTACAGTGTGAGTGTGTCTCCATGCTGCAGGAATCCCTTTGTACTGCTGGGTCGTCATGTGCCCAAAAGCTAGTTGTCTGCTGTCCCAGTGCTGTGCTGGTCTCCATGCAAAAGAAGTGAAAGAACACAGGGGAGTAACAAAGTGTGAAGCCTTTGCCCAGCCTGGTGTGTGTGGACAAACCTAGCGGCTATTTCTGGCTCTTGATTTCATGCTTTCAGTTCACGAAACTTATTCCATCTCATATCCCTCTTCGGCTTGTTCCAGACTAGGTACTGCTAATGAGGAGCAGTGATATGAGACTCCTCCAAGTCTGTTGTGGTAACTGCTACTTGCTAGCATCACTGCTACCTGCCTTTTAACCCATTAATGAGGTGATATTTGACAAGGGATCTCTGTAATACAAAAAAGCTGACTTATGTATCAGACCATGTTATGCATCTCCTCTGCTAGTGTTCCTTGTGTATGTACCAGAAACGATCCTTTCACTGTCAAAATGTCACCTATTTGAGCTGATGGTTGGCCCATGGAACTGGATGAATATCCCAATGCAAGACTTGTGAACCAGTATCACAGCAGAAAGGCCTGGCTGCACATGGGGAGCACAGAATGCAGCCCCAAGGATGCGGCAGGTCAGAACTGAGATATGTTGGTGCAGAAATCTGGAAGAAGGTGCACTGTGCCTGGCTAGAGCCTGCTGTTGCCCCTGCTGTTGCTGTTTGTGTTTCTCCACTTCTGGTAGGGAAAAAATATATATATATATATATATTTTTTATAATATATATTTTTTTATAATATATATATTATATATATATATATATTATTTTTTTTTTCTGGGATTTTAAGCAAACATATATTGGGAAAGGGCCAGCCTCACTTTAGTCTCTGATTGCTACACAATCCACCTGATAAGAGGCGATGAAGATGTTTTGGGGTACAGTTGTGTCTTTGGCCTCCATTCAGGCTACAGAAATGTCTGCCACCCCCAGGAGAGCACGGAGCAGGGATGTGAGAGCCACAGCTGTGCTGCTGCACAGTGCTCTGCATCCCAGCATCTGCACAGAGCAAACAGCTGCAGAGAGGCAGCTCCTGCAGCTCCAGGTCTTGACACCAGTCTCTTTTAGTGGCTCTGGGCTTGTTTATAGTCATGCTACTTCACTCTGCATTTCTACCAACAGGTTCCAGGCTCTGTGCACCCCCTGGGATGGATCTCGTTGCTGCCCTTTCTGCTGGGGACTGTGCAGGGAACACAGAAATGCTGCTGCCGAGAAATGCAGAGAAGGATGTGACAGCATCACCAGCCTTAGAAGAAACAGCAGCAGCACCAGAGATGGAAAGTCAACCCTGATGGAGCAGTGGTGGAAGCATCAGAAAACCCAGAGGCAGAAGGACTTGCTGAAATTATCCAAGCAGCAGAACAAATAGCAAAATCTGAAGTGGCCAAGGTGCTGCAGTCAGCAATAGCTGAGGTAGAGGCCCTGCAGCATTGGTGCCCACTTGGTGCCCCTTGGGTTAGGCTCATGCAGCCAGGGCAAAACCTGGCCTTGCAACCCTGCGCTCTGAATGCCTCAGATTTCTCCTGGAGCTATGGGAGAGTGTGTTATTTTGGGAAAATTGAGAATGAGTTTTAAAAAAAAGAAAAAAAAAGGGAAAAAGAAAAAAAAAATCCTTAAAAATCCCCACGGAGCGTTTGTGCTCTTTTCCCATCTGGTTTCCCTCTGTCTTTCAGATGAGCTTTTTTTCCACGATAGCGGGCACTTTATCAGGCCTGGTAGAGCTAAGGATACAGAGCCCCCCCCATTACAGCCCCGCTGGCCACGTGCTCATCCTGTTCTGAAGCATTCATATTTGGGGATCAAAAAGGGTCCACGCACAGTGTTTACTCAGCCGAGAATTTTTATTTGACATTTGAGCAATTATGCCTTGTGCTGTCCATGAGTTTGCCGAGTGTGATAAACGTGCTTTTCCCATTTGAAAAAACCTGTCTTTTAACATTGATGATGTGGCGACAGATTTTCAGCAGGGCTGGGAGCAGGATTTGCCAGGGCTCGGTGCCCGCTCTCAGAGCCAGATTGTCAGATGTTCGGCAACCAGCAGCTCCCTGTTGGGTGTGAGGCCTTTGGACATGTTTGTTTCCATGTGCAGAGCTCGTTTGTTGCCTGTGCACCATTGAGCATCCACCTTCAGCTCTGAGGACTGCGCACAGGAAAATCTGGATCTCATCTTCCCAGGCTCTGATTTCATTTTGAGTTTGCAAGGTCAGCTTGCTGCCGTCACCATTTCCTGGGCCCCAGCGCTGCCCTGAGTGCATGTCTTTGCTGGAGGACATCTTCCTTCAATTTATCCCTGGTTCTGGAAGTAGCTTCGCTCGGGATGGGCACTTTGGCGTGTGTTTCAGTGTGCTTTTATGTCTCATGGAGATCAGCTGGACTCAGGCACATGCTGAAACAATTCCTTAAATCAGAATGTGCAGAGGAGCCTTTATTTATAATTTATAAATATCTGTGGTGTATTTTCCTATGGTGTTTCCAATGTTTCATGCATTTACTCTTGACTTTTCAGCTCAAGGAGATGAGGAGGAGCGCGTGGTTAAAGCTAAAGAACATCACCCAACAGGAGGAGGAGGACTGGGAGAAGAAGAGAGAGATGATGTGAGGTGAAGGTTGGTTCATACCCAAAGTGAGGCTCATACCCTGGGCATTTCCCCTTTGTAAGTGCCCACGCTCTTAAAAATAAAGATATGCCACATTCCACATGCAGTATCATTCATGGGTTTGAAGGCCCTTGTCTTCTGGCTTTGTGAAATGACAGCTCCACACCAGCTCCTCCATGATGAGGGAGAGCAAGGAGCTGATTGTGATGGAAAATGTGTTGCTGGCATGAAATGGTATAAAAAAAGATGTAATTTTAAATGTCAGGTCAAGTTGCCATGCCCTGTAGACCAAGGCATGATCTGCAGGAGGACTGCTAATGTGAATTAGTTTCACATCCCAGCAGAGCAGGTGCAGTTGCTAGCAGCCTATCCAGCATGCTCCAGCTCTGAAGCATTTCTCGTCTGGGTAGTACTGGTAAGTTCACTTTTCTGTTTTTTTCTAATTTTGGTTACTTATCTGTTGAAAGTAATGGGAAAGACCTCTCCATCCAGACTGATAATAGTGAAAAGAAAGGAAAAGTCCACAAGGAAGTCAGGACATTGGAATCAATTGGTAAATTGGAAATCAAAATGGTATTGTCACCATGAATGGCGTGCTCCCCAGGCAGGGCAGATTGTCGTTAGAACTGGCGTCGCAATTTTGAGAGGGGAATATGGTTTCTTCTAAGGTTATTTTCTCAGCCTGTAAGGTGAGGGTAAGTTTGGGTGATGAAGCAGTCACCACGGGAAGCAAACTGGCAACAAGATGGTGCCGAGTGTGGGATCAGAACCAAGAAAGGCTTGGTGCACCTCTCCCAGATTCTCCTATGAAGGATGATCACAGTGTGATGCCTGCAATGAAGAAGGAAATGCACCCTTCTCCTGCAGTGACGTCAAAGGGGTTTCAGTGCCCTTCCCAGTGCACACAGCACCGGTGCTGCCTTTGCTCTGGGGCAGTGACAGCCAGGGAGGGGAGAACAGCAACCTCTGATCAGAGCTCAGCCCCCTGGCCCTAGATCTGAGGAGACAGAGCCCGCCCTCCCTTCCCTTACAATAATTTTATTTTATTACAAAAAGAGCCCATATTAAAAAAGCTCATGATTATGTTTTCTGTTCACCAAGACTTTTCCTGTATTCGACCTTTGGATAACCTCCAAGGCTTGCAAACATTTGAAAGGAGTAAAGGAGCTCATTTTATTGCAGGGCCTCAGCATACATTCTTTCCAGCCTATCTTTAACATCAGTTGACAAGAATTATATAATTGCAGTCTGTGATCCCTTTAAGGCTAAAACGTATTCGTTTTCCCTCAAAGAACACTTCAGGTTTCAGAGTTAAATGTATACATTTTTTTCCATCTGGGCTATTCTGTAAAAAGCTGCTTTCTCTTCAGCTGGCAAGTCCCATTCTAACAAGTTGCATGGGTTTATTTTTTACTGCGGTTTTCAGCTCACATGTTAACAAGTAGAAGAAAGAGCCTCCAAATCCCGACCGGTGTTTCCCATTGCATTGGAAAATTAGTGGGTTCCAAAGACCATGCAGGGGGAATTATCCTCCTTAGGTGGAACCAAATAAAATTTCATCTTGCTGATTTAATCAAATTACTGTCTAATGCTAATTGATAGGCAGCCTGGAGACGGGCAGGTAGCTGGGCTGGATCTGATCTTGCATTTCAGAGGTATGATGTAACCCTCTGGGTCAGGAAGGAATTGCTGTTCTCCTATCAGAATGGCACCTGCCACCACGTTGTAGGAAGCCGTGGACATCAGATACTCGGGTAGGAGCTGGGGAACGATGCCAGAGAGAAATCTGAAGACATTGCCTAGAATTTAAAAAAAATGAATTGGCTGCAGCCACGATGACATTGTTTGCATATGTTCCCTATAGTTCAGGTTTTCACCGCTTTGAGAACAGCAGCACTCTGTCTGTCCACTCTGAGATGAAGCGATGCCCCTGCGCTGAGCGCGGCGAGCAACAAACTGAAAGTCTGCAGAAAGGAAAAAAAAAAAACAACAGAAAAAACCCTCCCTGCTCTTAGTGCTTCCCAACAATGAGAAATGGAGGGAGCCGCAGCCTGGTCATGGGTATCTGCATGCAGGAAGGGAAGTTGCATTTATCTGGTAAATGAGCTATTAGGAGCGATTAAGCTGTTTGAAGCTGGGGCTCAATGGGCCGATTGTCCGCCCTGGTGCAGCTGAGGGGCTGGCGGTCCAAGTGGGGGCTGACGGGTCCAAGTGAAGAGGTTTAAGTGGTGGATCCCCAATTTGCTTACCCCAAACCTCCGCGTCCTTACCTGTTGGATGGTGGCAGCCAGTGTGCTTTTGTCTGAGTGCTTTAGGAAGTGCAATCTTTTATTCTAAGTGGTGTTTGCCTGTAAAAATGGTTCCTTACTTCAAATATTTAGTTACTGTAATGGTGATTGCCCCCGTGCCCCTTAGGGGTGGGGACAGGGGCAGCATTCCAGGTTTTATGGAGGGGCAGGTTTGGAAGGGCTGTAAATGCAATAATCTGCGAGAGAGGGAGCGTAACAGAATCCCTCTAATGAACTACAAGCCCACAGTTTGTAAACTTGGACGTAGATTAGGATCCTGCCTACTGTATAAAAATAACTGTGTTTGGATTTCTTTGTGGCCAAAGGATCTCATAACCTGTTAAGTTCTCAGCACCCATTTTTCTAATGGAGATGGGGCTGTGTAATGCCCCATGTCGCACTGAAAAGAAAATCTCGGCTCCGTTAAGCTGTTTCCTGCTTTTGGTAGCCTCTCTGTATCAGGATTCCCATTCTTGTTTCTGTTTCAAGCAGGAGACTAGTTTACAAGGCAAGTTTCTCCTTGGAGATCACAAGAGGCTTTCTTTCCCCTTTCTTTTTCTAAGAGGAAGGATTAGGTCACCAGTAATACCATTTGCTTTTTATTTTTTTCTGCTTTGGCTAATCTGCTCTCCAAGATGTCCATGTTACAAGAGAAATAAAAGGCTTTAAGCGGCCGTGGGATATTCCCCCCTCACCTCAGCTCTCCAGCTGAGGAGAACGACTTACAGAAATCACCTCGTGCAAAAGCCTTAAACCAGAATTTCAGATGCTTGTAAGACAAAGCAGAGATAGCAGAGCGTCAGGTGCTGGCGATTACCAGCATGTCCAGCTCTACTGGCAGTACAGCTTTGTATGGAGAGCTCCTGCAGCCGCTCACCTGCAACCAGCAGGCTTATCGCTATGCTGAGACCTTCCTGTTCCATTGTCTCTGTGCATTTTTACCTGGGAATGGTAGGGCAGCAGTGCTGAGCCGTGCTGGCAGAGCCTGGCACGCTGCGTGCGATGCGCCTGGCTTCACCCAGGGAAGGACGTGCGCTGTGTGCGGAAAGTTTCGGGGCTCTGAGCAAAATGGGTTCGGTCAGAGAATAGCGAGCACCAGCAGATGATTGCTTTTGTCTCGTCTGAATACCGAGTGCTGGTTTGTGCTGGAGCCATAAACGTCGTGCTGCAATAAATAAGAGTCTGCATTGGTAGTTTGTGCCTAGCACAGTACAGTGTGTTCGTGCTGGTTACGTTACTTTTGGCAACCTCAGTTAAAGGGCCAGGTAGGACTGGATCTACATCAGCGCAGCTCTGTTGAGATCCGTGCCAGCCCCCGGCAGCCAGAGCTCTGCCTCTCACATGTTTTCAGCTGGCTTTTTTCAGTCCTTTCTTTCCAAAGAGTTTTAAAAACACAATTAAATGGACAGGACCACTCAGCAGCTGAGCATAAAAAGCCGTTTATCTGAGGATATCAAAGTGCTTGACAAAGGTGGGTAATTCTCTCCGTGCCCTTCTCGCAGGGCGGGATGCTGGCATGCAGAGACAGCGAGTGGTTATCTGAGTAACAGAGCCGGTAGCAGAGGCAGTAATTAAAACTCCGGTCTCATGACACCCAACTCTGTACTGTAACCACTAGACAAACTGCCTCCCGGAACCGTATCTCATCTCTATCTCCCTCCATATGCACAATAAAGCCTTTGTAGTATACGCTGTACGCTTGCTATTGATAGTTGTATCAGCTGAAAGATAATGCTTGCTCTTCTAACTGGCTGCAAGTGTACTCCGTACAACCTCAATTATCTGAGCATAATGGGGGAGCGGTGGAGAATTTTGGGTAATCGAGGTTTCGGTGTAATGAACGGACATGGTGGGACACGGCACCGTTTGGAGAGCAGGTTGGGAGAGCTGGGGCTGTGCGGTCAGTTCACAAGCAATGAGCTGCAGCTCATATGGTGTTCTTAGATTCACAGATTCATTTGAGTTGGAAGGAACCCTTAAAGGCCATCTGGTCCAACCCCCTTGCAATGAACAAGGACACCCACAGCTCCATCAGGTGTTCAGAGCCCATCCAGCCTGACCTTGGCTGTCTCCAGGGGCGAGGCATCACCTCCTTTGCTGCTGCAGGTACCCCTCTCAAATCAGTGAAGGCCAACAGCAGTTTTTAATGGAAAACATCTATGTGGCAGCTCAGCACACCGCTCCATAGGAGCACAGGGGCTACGTGGGTGGCTTCCACTGTTTGCAGAGAAGCAGGGCCAGAGAGCGTCCGAAAAATAATTTCCCCTGCACATGCTGTAAATTCTAGGTTTTGAGTACGACCCAGCTGTTAATGAGCTCCATACGGGCGGAGCAGTGCAGTGTCTGTAGAGATGTATTTGTTTACAAAGTTAAAGGCAGGAGCTGGGAGCTATGTATCCTGGCTGTTACCTGCAAGCTGGGACACATTGATATGTGTGAGCTGATGTCTGACGTTGCTGAAGCAGCCCACTCTTTAAATTGCTTTAAATTCCAGTCTGTGCTGCTCCTCTGGAAGTTGCAGTGGCTGCTAGTTGTGTTCTCAGCAGTCACTTCAAATGCCTGGAAAAATAAAATGGGTTTTCTTGTGTGCTGCAGCACTTACCCCGATCTGCATGTTCGTGCAAGGAGAACGTGCGTATTTGTTATCTTTAATACAGTCTGGATACACACACATATGCATGTAATTCCCTTTCTTTTTAGACACCAATCTGTGTATGTGTATTTATGAGGGCTTGACACAGACTTCAGTAGAAGCAGGACTGACCTCAACATTTTGTACATTATTAAGGGGAACAACAGT